ATTCTGTTGAGCTCTGTTAGCGTTCTGTTAGCATTCGGTTAGCGTTTTATTAGTGCTCTGTTAGCGTTCTGTTAGCATTCAGTTAGCATTCTGTTGAGCTCTGTTAGCGTTCTGTTAGCATTCGGTTAGCGTTTTGTTAGTGCTCTGTTAGCGCTCTGTTAGCATTCGGTTAGCATTCTGTTGAGCTCTGTTAGCAGATCTTCTGTAAATGTCTACTTGTCAGTCCTGAAGAAGAGCTGCAGGTTCTGAGGAGGTTTGGGTTCCCTGTGTTTGGGATCATTGAGGACGTGTTCCCAGTGTTCCTCCTGGTCCCTCAGGATGCTTTGTGACATGTAGTTAATTACCAGAGGAGGTGTCTCCTACATCCTGCCCCCCGCCGCTCGGTTCCTCTTTAGTATCCGTGCAGCATCAGTGGAGCGTCTCGTTTCAGCTCAGGATCGGCTTCCCGTCGCTCCGGCCCGTTCCTCCTCCTCCTCCTCCTCCTCCTCCTCCTCCTCCTCCTTACCTCATCTGCATGGTGGCAGCTCTGTTAACCCCTGGTCTCCTGCGCCGGCCTCTTTTTAATTATCTGAGCCCATCGGAGGGCGGCTAACGACCCGCTAATTGATTTCAGCCTCTCTCTCCCGGCTCCTGGTGAAGGTGGAGCCAGTCGGCGGGCCTCACCTCTTCTGGCAGGGATTCATCTTTAAAGCACATTAGGTCAGGCAGTTAGCTGATGCTCCATCTATCCGGCTATTAATCTATTAATTAGAGGGCTAATTAGGCCAGAAGAGCAGCCTGACACCGTGTCACTCTGGACCCGCTGCTCACCGCTCATTACCTCCCACTGCCTCCACCGGGAGCTAATGGAGGCTCATCCGTCTGCCTCCCTCTGCAGGAACCAGAACCAGAACCGCCGGAGAGCGGAGCAGGGACGGGTCGCCGGGTCCGACTGTGGGTTCCATCTGGACCTGTCTGGGTTTTAGAAAAGTTCAGATCATTCCCAAACATGCACTGTGAAGCAAAAACTAATGAAATGATCCGTTAATCTGAAGAATCATCGATCATCAAAGATTAGTCATTGATTGGATAACGAGAAAACAGGAGCGATAGAAAAATATCATGATTCATAATAAAACATCAGCACTAAAAACTCCTGGTTCTGGTCCCAGTCCTGGTTCTGGTCCAAAGAGTTTTTATTCCTCAGGTTTAATTGGCAGCAGATCTTTAGTGTCTAATTCATTCATTTTAATTTCAGATGATATCTGATCTTTTCTGCTCAATTGGTTTATTTTCTGCTTTTCTTTGGATTCTTATGTTGCTCTGATGTTTTATTTCCTCGTTTCGTCTCGTTGTTGATCCTCTAGTTTTAGTGGCTCTGTCTGTGCTGACCAGTCTGGATTTAATCCATATGTCCTAGTCAAAGTATTTTCTCTGAAGCATTGTTAGTGGATACTGATTCTGTTGCTGCGACTCGCTGACTTTGGCTCTGGTTGTCGGTTCAACGCCCTTAGGAAGGCAGACAAAGCAGCTGTGGGGCACACACACTGACACACACACTGACACACACTGACACACACGTTGGAGCTCAAACAACAGGCAGGAAGTCAGAGATGCTCAGTGGGCCCAGCGCGGCGCCCTGAGGAACGCCAAACAGAACCAGAGCTGATGAAGCTGTCAGTCAACAGGTCAAAGGTCAAAGGCTTCAGTGACTGGAGAATCCACTTTAATCCCAGTTTAATCTGGAAGTTTCTTTTGTCTGTTGTGTTTTTCTTCTGGCTCTTGTAGCTTTGTGGGAACTTTTAGTTTTTAGTTCAGGAATTTTCTCAGGTTTCTGTTGATTTTGATGGTTTTATTGAAACGTTCAGATGAATCTGATCTGTAACAGCAGCAGAACCAGCAGCAGCCGTGCTGCTACAGACCCACTGCAGCTCACACACACAGCACCTCCCCTCTGGGCTGCGCAGGCCTGACATATTTGCATTGTGTGTGTGTGTGTGTGTGTGTGTGTGTGTGTGTGTGTGTGTGTGTGTGTGTGTGTGTGTGTGTGTGTGTGTGTGTGTGTGTGTGTGTGTGTGTGTGTGTGTTTTCCTGTCATAAGCGATCTCACCGGGACTCGTGTTTAATTATCTACCCAGCATGCCTTGGTGCTGAAAACACAGCATTTCCTCTAATGGGATGTGAAAAGGGACACACACACAGAGATTAACACACCCTGTGTGTGTGTGTGTGTGTGTGTGTGCTTCAAACACGTTAACACACACACACACACACTCTTGGTGCGGTTAATTAGTGCAATTAGCCTCTCCAGTGTCCAGAGCTGTGTTTTCAGGAGTCGTTAACTCGAGACGGAGACTCGCTGTTTACTAAATACACGCCTGAAGTTCACACACACACACACGCATACACACACACACACACACACACGCATACACACGCATACACACACACAGGCCGATTACATCACAGTGATGCTAATGTACATTAAATGTGTTAGGAATATTCAGTAACGGTTGTAAAAACCAAACCATCAGAACAAGACGAGGTTCAGCTTCAAGATGGCTGAAAACCCATCAGATCATCAATATCCATGATTATTGAGTAGATTTGGAGTTAAACATCTCAACCGCCGTCAGTCTGCTGACGTTTCCTGTCTTGTTTCTTTATTTTAAAGTTGAAACTGCTGCTGCGCAACGTACTCAGAGGGCTGTTGCTAGGCAACCACAGAGCTACCAGTTAGTTGATCCCACAGCTAGCTCTGTTAGCCCTGTCGTGGTGAGCAGTCCCTCCTCTGCCTACATCCCCCAGAATGCTGTGTGGTTCTTGATTTCTCAGTGTAATTATTTCCATGGTGACCTGTAGGGTTATTGGTGTTTGATGTTTCTGGACGCCTGGCGGATCTTAGCGACTCCAGAGGACGAAGGCCTGCGTCTCC